GAGGTCAAGGGACCAGTGTGAAAATGGCCATGCCAGTTTTTCCCACGCCAAAGTTTTACCTAGCTTCCCTTCCCGTAAAGCAAGCCTGACGTGGTTGGTACCAATGGATGCGTTCTAGCTTTAAAACTGAGCCCGCTACCCTCTGAAAGACTTGCCCTGAGTGGAAGAGGGAAGGATAATGGTGTGGCACCTGTGGTGGCCAGTGCCCCCTCTGGAAACGCCCCTGGTTACAGAGTGATTATTATTATCTTAAGAGGGAGAAGACCAAGGGCCATATAGTGGGAAACATACACAAATGGACTTCACTTTTTCATTTAAATTATCACATTTTTTGTTCACAAACCAAATAAGTTAACTTATTAGGTAGTAAACTTTGATGCAGAACATTGTTTTATTATTTTAATATTGTGTAAATGTACTATCTAGTTGGTTAGTGTTAGTGTTAGTGTGGTTGATATGATGGAGTATGAATTGCTTGGTTGTACAAAACAGATTTTGCTATCAATGTCTATAATTTACTATACTATCCTGTGGCCTTTGATATAGCTTTAGATATGTTTGCAAATTGCCATCTGTGTGATTAATAAATATGCATGCAATGATTGTATAAATGTATGTTACAAAGCACAAACAACATTTGGTGTTTTGCATCATGGGGATATTTGCAGAATACCAGGTTGTTAAAATGATTTATCTTTCACCTGGTTACTCAAGTAATCTATTTTCGCGGGAAACACACAGATGTCCTAAATAGGTAAAAATAATCTTGTTCAGCTCACACTGACAAATTTGTTAACACTTCCTGGCCTGCTCCCCTTTGTGGACTGTGCCTCTGTTGCCTAGAAACATTTCCTGTCTCCTTTGCCATCTGCAGACTCGCACAGTAATCAGGGTCATTTCGATATCACGCCTGCACACTGAGGAAAGCAGCAGCTGAAACACTTGTGCTTGTCAATGCAGAAGCATTGTAAAATAAAGAAATATACAGCAAATCACAATGCTAAAAGCTTTGTTGTTGCTTTTTTTGTGCCATCAAATGAGGATGAGAATGATGGCTGCACATGCAGTGGAGGGTCAAACACCTTCTCACCACCAGAGAGACTAAAGGTGCCAAAGCTGAGGCTCAATACCCAGTAGCACTAGCAGCTCATACTGGTTGGTCGAGCCAGACTGCACAGACGTAGGTGGGTAACTATAGAGTTAAGCTCTGCATGTTAGCGTAGGGTCTCGATAGCGAAGCATGTATAACTTCCACTGTTTTATGTAAGACACATCACATTTACCACTAAGAGTATACTGATATTCCCCCATTTAAAAATGTATAGAAAAGTACATTCTTCTCCTGCATCCCCTACCATGTGTATGTCTGTGACAAGACAAGAAGCACTGCACAAGATAAGGGAAATATTATGATGTATGGAAATAATATACTGAAGAACAAAAGGTCAAGACTGCACTGTCATGCTTCATGCTCAAAGAAAACAATGTCCCCAACTTTAGACTGTGCAGGGTTGATAACAGTAGAAAACTTTTGTGAATCCATAACAAAATGTTCAGACAGCAAAACATGGAAAACTACAAGTCTTTTGTTGTGTTTTCTCTTTCAAATAGGTCCATTTTTAAACACAGTTGATTTTTTTTATCACCATTCATTCTCTATAGTTTTATATTTGTTTTATATTTGATCAATTTCATCAATTGAGTTTTAACCCTATTTTTAATGGTAATACAAATCCTATACAAGTAGCAATACCACAGTGCAAAATGAATAATAAATAAACAACAAAGTCCATAATCATTAGAATTAAAATATACCTAAAATACAAGAAGTCATTATGCAGAATGGCTGATTCCTATAGAATATTGTATATTAGATATGTGATTGTATTATAATTAGTGATGCATTCATCTATAAATTAAAGTGGAGCTAATTTCAATTACTCCATATACTGCCAGGTAGCTTAATCCATAACAATATATTGTAATTTATTAGTTTATGTATATACTTTTTAAATAATGTTGTTAAAGAAATGTAGTAAAAAGTACAATATTTGCCACAAATGTTAGTATAAAGTATAAAGTGACATAGAACCTAGTACTAAGTGCTAAGACTACTTAAATACATGTACTTAGTTACACTTCACTATGGTCTGTGAGTAACTGAATATGTAATATCATACATCAAGTGAAGCATTAAGATTGTGATATTCTCCTAATTAAAGATATATTGTAAACAGTAAAAGGGGACTGGGAATTTAATGTGCATAATAAATGATCCATTCTGTAATTGTGGCTAAATAAGTTTGCTAAAACTAATAAAAATGAATAGGGAGGTCTTGGGTGGGACAAACAATGACTTTGAACTGAAGACTTAAATCAGAGCCTCTCTGATAAAGAGCAACAGATAGTGAACACAATAAAACCGGACAAGCAGCATTTATTGCAGGACTGTTGCACTGGATGGCATCATATCATGAAGGTGTTGCTTCTACTGTGTCCACCTCCGCCTGTCAGTCACCCTGCTGCAGCCTGAACAGATGACAAGGGACTGACAAATACCAAGTGCTGACAACGCTTTCTGCAGCCACACCAGACTCCATGTTACATAACACAGAAGAAAGACAGAGCACGTTTTAGAATCACGCACATGTGAGCAGTACACAGAGCAGATGTATTTAGCGGGCAGAGACACCATGCTCTGGCATGTGGCTCATTTTGGGTGTGGTGGCGGTTGCATTCAGTGCGGCTGCTCTTGAAGGGGGCATCTCAACCATTAATTGGACCAAGCCTTTTCATTCCCCCAAGAGATGAGTCCGATCCAAACCGTCTGTGGTCGGGTGGGGAGATGGGGCTCCCCCCAGGGCCTCGGCGGGTGGTGAGGTTACGATTTGGGCCGCCTGGCTAAAAATAAAAGATCAAGGAGCCTCAACCAGACATGTTGGTCTGGTTAGACTTACAGAGCAGAAAAAAAGGGTTTTAAAAACAGTTAAAAGGGTGTTGCATGTGCATTAGCCTGATGACCTAATGTGTTTAAATAAATGAGGCTACTTTTCCAAGTTCAGTCCATAGCAACAGGGTAGCAAACTGAACGGCCATATCAAACATTTGAAAGTAATTCTTCTGACTTTGTGTAAGGAATTATAAACTATAATGACACTGCAGTTGTTGTATGCACAATTTTTACAATATAACCAAACATTTTTTAAAATATATTTCAAATACAGGATGGCCGAGTTTGACTGACATCCGAGAGCTGGCTTTGCTTGTAAAGGCGCTTTCAACTTCTGCCCTGGTTATGTACTAGCTATGCTGGCTAGCTTCCACTTTCCAAGTAGATGCTAATCAGCCTACCTTGCTGTTTGCACTAATTCGCACTAATGTGACCTGGGAGCTGGCAGTCAGAAATTAAACTCGGATCTGGCTAGAAATCTATGGTGGGTGCAGGATAAAAACAGTGCTGCAAAAGGGTCTACTCCAGTGCATGAACACTGACAAGGAACTTAACAGTGAAGTATGACACTTCTTGTGTCCAGTGGTCCAACTTATGAAGCAAGAAAACAATATTAGCATATTCATAGATTATGGATTCTTCAATGAGGGAGAACGTGTCATTTCAAGATGACATTTTCAAGTTATAATCAAATTATCCAAAGCCAACATGTTCTTACTCCCAACTCGTCAAATATAGCTGCTACGCTTTAAAAATACGACACTGTAGGGCGCATCATTTGGGATGCACAGGGATCCGTGGTCAAGTTAAAAACAATATTCAGTGTGTCTGGTTAGACTTTCAAAATAAAGCTTAATGTTGGGAACACACTTAGGTAAGGTTAGGTTTAGCATTAGTTAATTATTCAATTCAATTCAATTTTATTTGTATAGCGCCAATTCATAACAGAAGTTATCTCAGGACACTTTTTAAATAGAGCAGGTCTAGACCGAACTCTCTAAAACATTATTTACAGAGACCCAACAGTACCACCATGAGCAAGCACTTGGCGACAAGGGCAGGGAAAAACTGCCTGTTAAAAGACAGAAACCTAGGACAGATCCTTCGGCTCTAGGTGGGTGAGAGAGACAGAGAGAGAGAGACAGACAGACAGACAGACAGACAGACAGACAGACAGACAGACAGACAGGTGCACAGCAACAACAGTATTGGCAATGGCAATCTAGCAGGACCATGGCAGGAGGCTCCACCAGGATCGATAAGAACCTGCGAGACGAGAAAGCACAAGAACTCCGGGGAAGAAGTGAAGTTAGTAGCATGCATTGATGGAACATGAATGAGTGCAGAAAGAGGGAGGAAGAGAGGAGCTCAGTGCACCATGGGAAATCCCCCGATAGTCTAGGCCTATAGCAGCATAACTAAGGGATGGTTCAGGACTCACCTGATCCAGCCCTAACTATAAGCTTTATCAAAGAGGAATGTCTTAAGCCTACTCTTTAATGTGGTGAGGGTGTCTGCCTCCCGAACCACAACTGGAAGCTGATTCCACAGGAGAGGAGCTTGGTAACTGAAGGCTCTGGCTCCTGTTCTACTTTTAGAGACTATAGGAACCACAAGTAGCCCAGCATTCAGAGAACGTAGTGTTCTAGTGGGGTAATAGGGTACTATGAGCTCTTTAAGATATGAAGGGGCTATAATTATATTAATTAGTTACATTATGTATCTGATGTGACTTAAGTGTGCCGAAGTTTGCCATCCAGTGGTCTATAAAGGGAAAGAAAAAGAAAGAAGACATGACCTTGTGTGTTTGCGCAATGTCACATACACAAAAATGTACATGCACAACAACAGGATTAATGTAAGTAAATTAAAAGGAGAGCTCTTGCACATTTAGCACAGCAGAGACAGATTTAAGTTACCTTCTGCTACTATACTGTATGAATGGCATCCACATGATTGGATTTCTTTCTTGTAAAGTTCAAATTCCTTCTATTCCCAGGGTCTGGTGGAATCCATTTTAATTTAGAATAAAGACATTTTTAATCACATATATCATTATCTTTCTTTAATTGTTGTTGTAATTAGATTCACATTGACCATACAGTAAAAAGTTCAATGTACGTACCCAAGGAAGAGAAAATAGTTTAATTTGTTAATTAATTTGACTATGATGAGAGATGGACATTAATTTGTGTCAGTATCATGTAATCTTTAGAGAGTGGTTCAGTAAATTATTAATACCATATGCAAATGTTGTATATATGTGCTTTGTAGCATACATGATCCATAAAATTTACTCATTTCATGCATAATAATCACACAGAAATTTGCAAACATATCTAAAGCTATGCCGAAGGCCACAGAACACTACAGTACTGGACACTGATGAAAATCTGCTTTAGTATAACCAAGCAATTATATTCCATTACATACACACAAACTATAATCATCAGCTGAATATCAAATTTGTGAAATTATTAACAATGTTCTGCTTCAAAGTTTGGAATTAAAATCATGAAAAGCTAATGATAATTTGGCAAACTAACAATGGGATGATTTAAAAGGAAACATAAACCTTTAAACATTGAAGATATAAACCACAGGCCAAAGCCTCACACCTTCATTAACTGTGAAAATCATTGCAATGTTATTTTTCACAGATCCAGATCTGTTCAGCAAAACAGCCGTCATCGTTCCATTCTCCCATTCCCGATTTCTCCACCATTTCTCCACAGTCCTGGTTCCCATTGTAGCTGTTGGGCTGCCCGGGCTGCCAGTACCTGATATAAAGATAACACAGAGAGAAATGCTTTTTACAGCATCCAGGTTTTGTTTCTCAACCTATTGCTTCTGACCCCAACTCATTTGCATAGAAATAGTAATATGCAGAGGCTTCAAGTAATCATGGGATTTTTTAAACCGCCCCCATTACCACCCCTGTGTGTTCTGAAACACATTCACACAAGATAATGAACTTCACTGAAATCAATGTCTCTGTGGATGCAGTTGTGTAGAGTCTCAGTTTGACAGTACAGTGGAGCAGATCTTTGAGCTGAATGTGCTGTACTTTGTGCTGAAAATGCATTAAAAATGTTCCCTACATTTTCTACTGCTGCATTGTTGATCAAAACCGAAACAGATTTTGACAGAATTTCAGTTTAGTTCTCAAAGTATTATCCAAATGTGTACCCTGTCAGAGTCAAAGTTAAAATCCTTTATATGAATTGCTTAATAACTGAAGGCTCTTACTAAAAAATCCAAGGATACAATCAATGAAAGACACTGAACATTACAGAGCTGAGTTCCTTAATACAGTAAATGAAGATGTTTCATTAAGAAACCAGTTGTTCTGTCATGATCCTATGAGATATTTTACTTCAGACACTCTGGTAATTAAAACTTACGATGTTGTTACTGGCTCCCCATCCACCCACATCCAAGTCCCCTCTTTAAGACTGTCAGTCAGACCAATCCAGGCATTTTGGCCAGTTCTCAGTAACCCATGGACAAATTCCTGTTAGTGTAGCACATAGAGAAGACAATGAAAAAAAAAATACAAATAAATATGCAAAATTCTTTCAGTCACAGTTTTCCTCTACTTCAGAATCTTTCCAAATCTTTCCTTTTTGATCGATTGATAGGCATGATGAACTATGAATCAATTTGTATTAGTTCCTTCATCCATCCATCTCATTTTCTTCCAGTTTGCTGTTGGGTTCACAATTATGACACAAACATTAACTTAATGCTAGTTTGCACATGCTGACCTCTGACAACAAAAGTGTTAGCAGTGATAATGCTAACACAGTCTACAAGTAACTCTACAGGAGGAAAAAGTCCCACACCATCAAAGCATGGGTTATAGGGCTGTGTCAGATAAGTAACGTAAGCATTATAAAAAATATATTCTAAGTTCTAAAAATATGCATATAAAATTCCTGCTTAAGAGCACAGGAGCACTCTCATCCTGGATCCTGCTGTTTACCATCAATATATACTGTACCACTACCTTGAAACAGGCAAGCTTAACTCATAAGAATGTCAATTCAGGACTGTATAATAATTATTTGTTTGCCAAGCAGGGTCATTAGACCGACACAATCCCTTTCATGGTGTGTGTGCAATGATTTTCCCAAACCGATCAATCAGCCACCTCTCTCAGCTGCCAACAAGTCACACACAAGTACTGTAAAGAGGACATATGTCAAACTGGGAAATCATCAGTGTGAGCTGTAGGGTCGAGCAAGTACTACTGCTGAGTATCCGGTACATGTCACTTAATTTTTGGTACTAGCAGAGTGAAATGCGTCAATATCTGTTTTCTAATAAACAATAAATCTAGGAACTTTTCGTTTCTGTAAATAGTTCTCCTATTTCTATGATCAGGAACATTGCTCTGAAGCTCAAATCTGAGGCTGTTCTGATTAATAATTAAAATTTAAAAAGCAATTTGTGTAGTTTGTTGCAGAAAACAGCTCCTTACATTGATCTACCCATAAGCTCTCACAGTGACTTCCCATTTAAACACTGAGAGACAAAACACCATGTTTGCTTCTGCTTTACAAGCATGCTGCTAAACTGCTCCATTAATTCTTGAAGACAACATGTTTTTTTGATGTCTCCCAGTTTATTCTTTCTTTCTCACCTGTTCATCCATGCCGTCTATGGACACCAGATCTGCTCCCCTGGTGATGCAGTCTTGCCTGCTTAACGTCCAGTTTTTCTTCAGAGTTGAAACAAAGTAACAGCTGATGTCAAACTTGAACCAGCCTGTCTGACAGACAATTTCTGCAACAAGGAGAGGCACAAAATATCACAAAAGGGCTAGGAATACCAAAACACTGACTGAATTAAACTTGTATGAGAAACACTTTACTTCTTCTTGCTTTGTCGATCTTCTTCTGTAGCTGATCTCTGTCTATAGCCAAGCTGCTGCAATTGGTCTGTAAATTTTCTTTTTCCTTCTGTAGAGTATTACAGCTAGTTTTCAATTGTTCTTTTTCTTTCCACAATGAATTATAGCTGATCTGAAGGTGATTTTTACTCGTAGTCAGTGTATTGTAGTTTCCTAGCAGCTGCTCCCTGTCCCTATTGAGCGAAGAGTAATTCCCCTCTAACCGATGAAAAAAAGTCTGTAACTCATCATGTTCTCTTTGTAGGTTATTGTAATTGACCTGTAGCTGGTCTCTAATGGCTGTCAGATTATGGTGATTAGTCTGTAACCACTCAAGATTCCTCTGCGTGTCATTATAGCTTGTCTTTAACTGATCACTTGCTTGTTTTAAGGTGCTGTAACTTGTTTGTAACTGGTCCCTCTCGTGTTTCAGATTATTGAACCTGGCGTTGAAGTCATCTCTTTCAGTAGTCACAGAATTGTAAGTTTGCTGCAGCTGGCCTTTTTCCTTGATCAGGTTACTCAATCTGGCCTCTAACTCTTTTCTCTCTGCAGTTAAAGCATCGTAACTGCTCTGCAGTTGACCTCCTTCGGGGCTGTAACTGGCCTGTGCTGGGTCTGCCAACGCAAAATGGCTGATTATCTGATCTGCGGAAAAAAAAAAAAAAATGGAATAAAAAAAAGGAATTTGCTTCGATTGTTTGATTTTGAAAATATTTTTCAAAATGTCAGCTGGACCTGAAAATATTAAATGCCAGGCAGCAGTTGCTAAACAAATTTGTATTGTGTTCTATTCACTTACAGTAGATAATCTGTGCAATGTTACCAGCCAACAGGATGGCACACAGTAATCCAAGACACACATTCACACATCTAGAGGGCTGCTTTTTTCTCTGAAAATCCCCTAAATCAAAGAAAGAAAACAGTTAAACATAATTTATAAGGGAGAGCGGACAAGGTTCTCTCTGTGAAATAGGAGCACCCTCACAGTTCCTTAGAAACCCAAATATAAAAGCTTTTATGAACTACTTTTTACAGAGCGGCACAAATATGAAAAGATATTAAAATTTAAGTTGATCAACAGGTTAGTTTCCAAAACTTTTTGCAGTTGTATCTAATACTCTAATGACTAATATTGTACCTTTGGTAATGAGGCCTTCCATTGTCAGGTTCTTATTGATATAAACGTCGTCATCGATTTCCATGGAATCCATTCTTATAATGGTCTCGCAATTTCTCCTGTTTAGAGGAGACATTTATAAGCATTTGTTAATCCACAAACATCATTAAAATCTCATTTGAGGTTTGGAGTGTGCACAAAAGTTAGCTTGCTTGAGGTAATCCAAGCATTTAAGTTTTAATGAGATCATTTAGTTTTACTGGAATAATAATCTGTACAAATGCTGTAAATAAAACTGTAGTGAATTTGAACTTTAGTTAGTTGAATCTGCAGAACATTTACTTGCAGTATTATATTCAATGATCTAAGCATTAATCTCTAAGTGTGCACTTACCTTGGATCTGAGAAGGTAAAAGGAAGTCAGTATTAGATGCTGCTACTGATTTAAAACAAACAGCAAAAATGAATGTATGTTTAAGTGCAGAGTTACTTATTGAGCAGAAAACAGGATGCTCCTTTTGCCCGTGTCATCAAATGTTTAATTTATACTTAGCTCTGATTGGTCTGAACAAACCTTTACTGTGCATGTGTTCGGTTCAGATTTCAGGTAATTTTCGGCCAGTAACAAACTGGAATCCACCAATAACGGTTAGTTATCACATAGAGGTGGTTCTCTCTCAGGCTCCAGACCTTCATCCTCTGTGGTTTCTGTTCCCTTTTCCCACAGATCAACTTCCCACTAATGTCAACGTGTTACATGACTGAGACACAAGGTAAGCCATATTGCAGATTTCAAAAATGCAAACTCAGTAGTATACAGTACAGTCAGTACTCGTTTATTTTTTCTGGATAAAATCATCTGTGTTTTAATTTGAATTGTTGACAGAGTAGAACACAAGCGCAAGGTCGCTCAGCCTGACCATCCTTCCCCCAAATATTTAGGCCCTTTCGGCTGAGATTAGGGCAAAGCGGTGCTTTGAAATGAATTCAGATGTATCAGCATTAAGTATGTTCAAAATGACAATAAGCATTTTCGGACTGGAGCATAGTTCTAAGAACAGGTGGATGACCCCTGAGCAACATAAGTGCATGCTGACTGGTCGGAGCCAATGCAGCAGCAAACAACAGCCTGTAACCTTAGGCCCAGGCTCACATGGCAGTCCGAGTGCAAAGAGAAAAAAAGCCCTTGAAGGTATGTAGTTCTCAGGGGAGCAGTTCCTACCAGAATGTACCCAAAACTGGTCTGAAAAGACCTGACGTTACATTAACATGCTGATGTTTTAGCAGATATACAGTAAATGTTTACCATATTTAGATGTTAGTGTTAGCATGGTAACTTTTGTCATTTTGTCATTAGTTTTGACGGTATCTGGTCATACTGGACATAGTGAAAATTTGGCCTGACTAGATGAAGTCTGTAATCATTGGTTTTCATTATTCAGCAAACATTCCCTAACCTCTAACAAGCCATTTTCCGGTCAGGTCTGTATCTACATACACCGTGAAAATGTCACTGTGACCTGCTGCTGCAAGTTGGAAAAATAGAGCCACAGAAATTATGTCACCCAAATCATGCAGTCAACTCTACAGAAGTGCATGAATGTAACCCCACATCAGTTGCTTTGACGATGAAATTAAGAGTAATTTATGCTCCTCCCGATTGTGTAAAGATTAACTCATGTTTCTAAACAGGGCTTTGTTTGTAAGAGCATTATCTGTAACTGATGCCATTCACAAGCCCCGTTGCTGTTGAATGGTCTAAAATGGATTATAGCTAAAGCACCGTTGCAGACAAATGATTTAGCCTGGCAGTGGTACGAGATTTAAAGCCGTGTCAGACTGAAGGTCAACTCACATTTATCTGTTGGACTGAAGACACAAAGTTCAGGAGGATTGTTTTTATCCGACTTCTGATTGAAGTATAATGTAGTATGTGCAGTTTTGTTGGGGATGAGGATAAAGAGAAGTCACTGACTTGGTAACACTTTATTTTAATACTCCCCATTCAACAATTATACCCAGCATAAACAGTTAAACATAATTTATTTACATTATAATGTAGTTGTAATCTTAATGTACATTGTTTTGTTACAGACTTTTTTTAAAAGTTTATTAAAGTTGTTGTCAACAATTGTTAATCCAATCTCATTGTACAATGCGGCCAACAATGTTTTGTTTTGAAATGAGAAAAAGAAAAAACTACCCATTTTGTAAATAAAAAAGAAAATGAAGAACAGAACAAAAAACCCATTTTGTTCCCCATATTTATAAATGGTAGTCGGGAAACAGCTCGTTTCCTGCTGTGGTTTGCTCATTTCAAAACTAAAATACATTGGCCTCCAAGTACAGTGACCATCCTTTCACAAAACATCCACAACTGATGTTGATAAATGCTAATAAATAGTAGACTCTAATAAAGTCATCAGAGTTTATCTTCTGGGGACTATTAGTGTCTATAAAATGTTATAGTAAACCAGCCAATAGTTGTTGACTATTTCACGACTGATTGTGCAGCCTCATAATCACAAAACATATTAATATTTATGTATTTATTTTATTTTTTTATATCCATCACCTGCTCTCCTGATCTGTCAGGCTCTAACGTTTCTCCTGACAGCACGAAGAAGCTTAGGCTGCGACTGAGCTCTGCCACTCAGAAAGCAGATAAAAATTCAGCTGGAAACTGAGTCTATTTTTAGTGGCTGGACTGAATTTCCTAATCACCTCCAGGACTCCTGAATGAATAATGAATAGTATCTTGTTAGTAATATAATTTCACAAAACCAAACCAGGCTGAGAATCCAAAAACATGTCAGTGGTAGAAAAAGTCTCCAAATCAGCTCACACGGAGAGCTGATTATTGTTGTTTTTTTCATGCAGCAGTTTGTGACCACTCTGACCATCATGCAGCCGTACAAATCTCCCATCTAAACTGAAGGGAGGCTGTGAATGAGGAGGCTGAAGCTGCTGAGTGTCTGATGGAGATAAGGGGAAATGACTGTGGCTGAGAGACGCCATCCTTCAGCCTGTCACACTCTGCACTGCCCATATTAATTAGCCTCCATAACTCATGAGCTCATCTGAAACGGCCACTTCAGGAAAAAAGAGGAGAGGACTTATCGACATCTCGGCATCCTGCTATCTTTACACAATAACAACCCAGTGATGTGTGTCACTTCTTTGATGGGATACACGGATGTTTATAGGGACACATTTCAGATCATAATAATCCCAGAGAAATTACTTTCTATGATTCATTTTTAGGTTTTCATTGTCTTAAGCAAGTTGATCTTTGTAGTTTTGTGATAAAATGGTGCATTTTTTAAATAATATCCCATATATGCTGCAGATCTCATTTCCTCAAATTCTAATTTGCGTTCACTTTTTGATCATTATTTATTTCAGACAACAACAATCATCCAATATCTACATTTCATTACTTACAATTCTACTAGGATCTGTAATGTCCTCCTTAAGCTGAACAAGTGAAAGTAAGATGAGGTAGAGGGGGAATACTATTGTGTGAAGTCCCTTATGTTGATCACAGAGTGATGATAAGAATCAGTCAGTCCAGCCTCAGATTAATTTCTAATATGAGAAAATCCATGAGTGTAGCTGAGTTTGGCAAAAGCAGCAGCAGCTGTCTCAGTGCTATTTGTGGTAAATATAATTAGTTTTCCAAACATTACTAAAACTTTGTCCTTGAGAACTTCTCTACATCAAGTCTGGTGATCATTTTAAAGCTGAAATATGCTCCATTTGGAAAAAAATATGACAGAAAATTGCTTGTGTAACCATACGGTGGTAAAATGTGTGCACTCCATATAAAACAATGTTAATAAGCAAATAGACTACTAAACAGATTTCAAATCAAACAATGTGTGTAATATTCATTGTTTGGGTGAGGTTGACTGCAAACGAAATGAACCTAGATAGCAACTAATGAGGTGAGGTGAGTGTAAGCTGGGGTGATATTACTCTCTATGGCTGTCACACTACCAATGAAAATGATCTTCCATTTCTGCCAATAGATCCTCCTGAATGTTGCACACTGGAACTTTAACTGCCCCACATCAGTTCAATAAGGAGAGATAAATTGAAGGATAATGTTTATTGAGGTTAACAGCAGAAAAGGACTTTGGCAATTATACTGTACCCCACGGATGTGATGCATTGCATTTTCAATAAGCGCAGGCCCTAGTACTATAGGAGATACTGAGAGTAGGTGTGGATGCTAATAGTGGTGGAGCAGAGCCAGATCTTCCTCACTGAACTTCCACCAAAGTTTCATCAATTGGAGTTTGCCACATTGCAGCTGCTGTCCTCTGAGAAGGAGTAAGCTACAAACTCTTTCAAAGCCTAGAGGCTATGAGTGGAATAATTGGAAAATGGGATTTAATTAAGCTTTAGGGTTGTGGCTGGCAAAATAGCGCAGCCACCCTAGCCTCAGATAAAGCCTAAATCTAAAAAAAATATTTTCAAGTGTTGGATGGGCTCATTGCCGCCCCTTGTGGCCAATGGAGGAAAAAAAAGGTCCCACGTTTATGAAAGAAACAACATTTTTAACAATCCAGAATTCTTTGTTGCTGCAGAAGATCTTTAACTTTATTCAGAAAAACATCTTAAGCCAGTTAAATGTTATGTGCATGGATTTTGAATTACATACATTGTCTCATGCTAATCCATGTAGCCTTTACTTAACTGTATCACAAATTGATGTTTAAGCTTTGACTTCACGATGATGATCCCATTTCAGAACATTCCCAAGGCTTTTTTAGATATATCACATTAGCTCATGACTTAAGAGGCAAAGAGCTCCAATGGCGCCCTCCCCCCCATAAGGCACTGCCTGTGTTTTAGTTACAACCTTGAGATGAGAGCGTATGGGTCCCAGAGGAAGTACTGGAGGAGGGGTCGTTATCATTTTTGGCAGTCCTCCCGTGTAAACCCAAAGGCCCTCCTCCATATTCATCAGGGGTGATTATGGGCTGACCTCCGTCTGCTGATAATCCTGAGCTGATGTATGCCCACCAGGCAGGCGTCATGGAGGAGGGCGAGCAAACCTGACACTGCGGCCAATTAGGTGTCTCCAAAGTGAGAGAGAGAGAGAGAGAGAGAGAGAGAGAGAGAGAGAGAGAAAGATGAAGAGAGGGGAGTACTGAAAAGATTACATTCATATCTACAGTAAGGTTTCAGTATTCATTTGAATTATGATTTTATTATTGTCAACAAATAGGTTTACAAGACGCCACAATAATAATAATAATAATATATATCAGAATCAGAATCAGAATCAGGAATACTTTAATAAGGGGGAAATTACTTTTGTTACATATACTCCATATGTAATAGAAAAAAACTGGACATACAATATATTAAGAATACTAATTAAGAATATATTAAGAATTAAGAATACATTAAGAATTAAGAATATATTAAGAATTAAGAATATAAAAGGTTTAAAATGTACAGTTTAAAGTCACAAGGTTTAATATAGACATA